CCAGGGGGCGCCTTCCCCGGGCGCGTGGCTATGGAGGGGGCCCCGCCCCCGGGCATGCGGCTGGGGGGGCCCCGCCCCCGGGCGGGCAAGTGTCCCAGCCCCCAGGCGCCCGGAGGGCGAACAGCCACGCCCCCTGGCGCCCGCCAACCTGAAAAGGTTGGGGACCACTGGTCTAGACCATCCCTGATAGATGTCCCCCAAGGTGGTCTGTGCTGTCACAGAAATTGAATCGTAGTTGTTTGGAAAAGTGTTTCTCAATCTTTTTGATACCAGGGCTTGCTTTTATCCCTAAGCTGTGCCAGGGAAATTTCAAGGATCGGTGCTGGTCCCTGAAGAAACATCTGTTTAAAAATTCCGGTTGCTCGCTACATCATTAGGAATGTTGAAGTATTCGGAACAGGAAATTTCTCCTCAATAGAAGATAGCAGAGAACCATCCTGTTTCAGAGTTTTAGCCTAGAAATCATACAGAATTTGTGTTTCAGAGAAACCGACAGCTTCTTTCACAAATGGAGGAAGGCACTTTTAATTGGCTGGTTCACTAAAGATTGATCACACAATTGGACTATTTAGTTAATCTTGAATATTTAAATAAAGTAATCTAAGACCATAGGATACTGGTAATATTCCAAATAAATTCATAGTTTAAATATCTACATTATGGGTATATAATGGGGTTTGGTTTTTAATATCTGATAAAGAATTGGATTTTATTCTTAGTGCTTAAGTAATTTGACTGATTTTCTAAATTGTAACTTTCGAGCTGTTTGTAGAACTGCCACAATTCCTCCCTTTCATTCCATGGAGGAAACATTTGATTAGAAATGGATAAGAAGCTTCACTAAATGATTCCTAGTCCCATACTAGTAGCAAATCACTGTGCCTGCATAGTACAAATTGAGAATAAAGTCACCTTATGTAACATGATTGTGATAAGGCCATGCATGAATTGATGGGGTGTATCATTTCCTGGTAAACTGTAACATCACATCATGAATTAATTCATTGTTATAAATAATATAAGCACAAATATCCAGCCATCTTTCTTTTTCTTTTTGTAACTTTTTTGTTATTGCTTTCAATCCTATTCTGGCTAATAAATTAGATTTCTCATGGTAATTTCTTTTTTTCCTTAGCCAAGCTACAGATGAGAATTACAGCACAATTATATATTTTAAGTCACTGGAAAATGAAAATTAGTTACAAAATATAAGTTTGTACTATCTATTTTGCCTCACAGAAGGGTATGTCTCTGAAATCCTTCTCATGTTTCTATGCAGCTCTATTGATAACAATAATTATTAAAACATTATGGAACACAAATATTCTTTGGATTAAAATAATATTTCTAGATCTCATCATATCTCGCTATGTGCTTTAAAAATTGGACCTCACTATGTCCCCTTTGCCTTGCTGTTCTTTTCAGACCAGTGGCACTGAGTTCCCCAGCTGAACTTCAGTCATGAAGATCCTTTACCTGTTCTTTGCTGTTGTCTTTCTGGTGCTTCAGGGCCCAGCAGGTAAGATGTAAAAAGGGATACTATAGAGGGGCATTTGGGATCCTCCAGTTAGATTGCCTTACATTCCTATTTTTACTGACTTTTATCCTTAGGAGCTCTAGCACTTCCGCAGTTTGCAAACTTTACATCCAAATTGCCAGAGGAACTGTCTGGAAGTCAGGGATGCATGTTTGCTGCCCCAAGAAAAATCCTCAAGAGACCAGTGCCTATAGCAGGGAGCCAGCCGACCATGACTTAAAACATAACTGCTGCTGCTGGCGATGGTTAATAATTCTGTGTCTTTCATAACCTGTGTTAGAAAGTCAGGCCCGTTCCCCCCCCACCCAGAGAGCAAGAGAAAGGCAGTCAGCCTTTGATGCCCTGGGAACGCAGGTGTGGTGCCTGTCCCTGACTCTACCATAAACAGAAACCAGACAGTAAATGGGCTAGCTGATGACCCGGGGCCTCCCGTCGCCCTGATGGCTAGTACCAGTAATTGACACGCCTGCACTGTCCCAGGAGAGGAATCTTCGCCCATCACATACCAGAGGTGCCCATTGTCTGCATTTTCCCAGGTGTAAATTATGCTTTGCACCCTTCGTGGGAAACTTGGCATTCAAAGCCATTTTTCCTTAATGGCCACTTGAGCCCAGGAAGAAGCCTACATGACCCAAGGGGTATAAAAGAGGTTCAGCCGCCCACCCCATTTGAGCTCCAATCATCTATACCTGCTGGCAGGTATTGATTGTCTCCCGAGGTCTGTGGGACGCCCAACCTCGCCCTACTTCTTCCCGAGGGATTGAGAGAAAGACGCTGGCCACGCCAAGTCTGGAACGCAGGGGTGAGAATATATACCTGCTATGTGTCTATTTTGCATGCGTTTAATAAGAGCTCAGAGAACCAAAGGGTTTCATGGTACCTGTAAGTGACTTATTAGTGTAATTTCTGTCCTGTCCTTTGTAGTGTCTGTGTTATCTGTAACACAGTAGTAGCATTTAACAACTAAGTTTACCCTGTAACAATAAATAGTAACTGTTTAAGCTTTAACCTGACTCCTTCAGTTGCTGTAACAGAACCAAGCACAATTTAAAAGAACTTCAGCCGGTCATAAGGGACTCACTGCCCTGACCGTCGGCTGACAGTGTCCCACTGAGAGGTTTCACAGCTGGTAACACAACTTGGGTCTCTTAAATGGCAGCTCCTCATTTATGTCTTAACCCTGCTGCATCTCAGGACCGGTCACTATTACATGCTTAGTGTTGTCCTAGAAATGATAGTATCTGAGGGCAGAGTATAACAGTATTGATATTTAAGTTGCCTTGCTTGCGACAGTTAAAAATGTTCTAACCTAAATATTCTATAAGCTTTGTCTGGGCACATTAGGACTTCATGTTTGAAATAGAAAGCCCTTCAGGTTTGAACCAAAGCCTGTCAGGCCCAGCTAAAGAGTTTGGGGGGCCCAAGGTGGTTGGCTGTGAGTGAGTGGCCAAGCAGGCGGGTGCTGGGCAGTGCAGGGCCCTGAAGGTGTGGGGCCAAAGGCAACGGCCTTGCTCACCGTGCCCTAAGGCAAGCCTGCCAATTGGTCATGAAGATAGCATTCCCCAGGGAATCTTCAGGAAAAAAAAATCTACCCAGCATCTCCCAGACAGACAGGAATTCAAACCAGAAGGGACTTTTTCAAGCGTCCGTGTTTCAGAAAGTCGTAGCGATCCAACTCAGAGCTGAGCCAATGCAACCTGATGATGCTTTCTGGCACCTCGCTATCAAGGGGAGTCAAACAGAAGCTGGAGGCGTAGGCAGATACTTGCTTTGTAGAGCATCAAGGCATTGGCAGCAAAGGGCACCATGCTCAGAGCTATGGTTCTTAATGCTGCAACCAGAGAGCCACATTTAATTAACATATTTATCATAGAATCATAGAGCTGGAAGAGACCTCAGGAGGTCATCAAGTCCAGCCTCCTGCCCAAGGCAGGACCAATCCCAACTAAATCAACCCAGCCAGGGCTTTGTAAAGCCGAGACTTAAAAACATCTAGGGATGGAGATTCCACCACCTCCCTAGGTAACCCATTCCAGTGCTTCACCACCCTCCAAGTGAAATAATTTTTCCTAATATCCAACCTAGAGCTCTTCCACCATAACTTGAGACCATTGCTCAAGTTTAATTAACTCCTTTCAGTCTCTTCATAGAGGCTGAATGTGCCCAGAACAGTAGCTGCTTAAATAACACTAAAGCTGTCATACAATTTCGTACTTCAAGTTATTTGGGATGACTTGGCCAGAGAGGTATAGGAATGGGAAATGCTTGTCATTGTCAAAGTCTTTGGCCTGCTCTTCATTCTGATCTTTAGACTATTTGATTCTGTGCAGCAGTCTCCCAGGCTCAGAGGATCAGGAGCTGTACTTTCCCGGGGGGTGTCTGTTACCGTAGAAGATGCCCTACTGGTACTTGGATGGGGGAGAATTGTCTTGGAGGGGGTGTGTGTTGTTACAGGTAAGTTCAGCATTCCACAAGGCAGACACTGCAGTGTGGACAGAAATGCCTGTTCCTCTCCTTCTTACTATTGCACAAGGCTCTTGGAGGCTCAATGCCCATTAGCCCAGCCTAGAGGCAGGGGGAAAATGAGCCTTAAATCCTTTTCTACTGCCCCTTAAACCTGACATCTTCCAGCAGCATCTCGAGCCCCTCCCCAGCTCCAGCGCTGGCAACCGGGACAGCACCGCGCTATTATGGCACTGGTGTGCTGCTCAGGTTTTGGGCAATCCCCACCAATCTCTTTATGGAGCTTTTATTGCCACTGTATCCTGCCAAAGATTTGTCTCTGGCCAGAGGCTGGGGCTCAAACATTCCAATGTCTGCATTGCTTTTATATATTAAGGTCGGGAAATCAAGCAGGAAAAACAAATGTCTGGAGGAGAGAAGGCAGGGACTGTGTGAAATCTATCCATCTGCAGGAGAAGTGAAAGTAACAGAAGATTTACCCCGCATTGACTGGGGCCTTAACTCAATTAAGTTTTGTTTCCCCCAGTTTAAACCATTGCTCTGGGGTGGTGCTGGGAATGAGGGGTTCCATCTGCAGGCTATCCCAGCGAGAGAGGGCAACCCCAGCCCTCTCTCAACCCTACCACCGTGAGGCCAGGTGAGAAGCACCTCTCCATGGCTGCAGAAGCTGCAGCAGGCATAGCCAGGAGAGGTGTGCATGTCCCCCGGCTGGGGCAGGTCCAGGTTCACTTGCATCCTGTACCCCCAGCCAGAGTGAGGAATGCAACAAACTCAGCACTTTCCTCTCGCTCCCTGATGAAGAGGAGCATCCAGCAATGCCCCCGTATGAATTGCAAGGAGGAGCTTCAGCACCTGGGGGTGGGAGACAGACAGGGTGCCTCCAGCACTGTAATTTTTTAGCGACTGGCTTAGATTCATATGACTATCCCCATTCAAACTAACAGAATGTTGCAGTAGGGAAAAAAGAATTCCTTGTGCTGCAGTTTATGGAACCCTTTCTTTTGCCATGAAGTGACTTGGGAAGTCCTCCTCTGTCTTTTGATTTGAACTAGGGTGTGTTGTGTGTTTTATGAGAAACTTAAAAAAAATCTCATTCAATTTTCTATGTACAGACGATACCCTGACTGATTATCCAGCCACTTGCTTCTAAAATCATCTGACTCTGCTTCAATGGAATCCTAAAGTGCTGTTCATTTGGACTGGGAAGAACTTTGTGAGCTAGAGAAATTCAAGAAGGCAGCCCTTGTATCCCTCATAGAGGATTTCTCCCTTTCCTTTTAATAAAAGCAAGCTGGCTCGAGATAATATCGCTGATGTGTGTGTGCATTGGTGGGAGACAATTGGGCTGTTTCTAGCGTTCTTCTCCGTTAGAACTCTGTCATGAAACTGGTGTAAAGTGAGATCCGAACCAAACACATGATTGTCCATAATAAGTACAAGCCGCAGGCTTTAAGTGAGAACACGCAGAGCAAAGTAGATTACAAACTCAAAAGTAACAGGCAATGCTTAGCTAATTCTACACTAAAATCCTCTGCACAAACTTCTTATAAACTCACCCAAACACTGTTCCTGTTCCAGCTTCATCTTCAAAAACAGGGAAATTTCCATTTCCGGTAGGGGTCTCCAGTTTACCCTCCTTGGGTGTGTGCATGCAGCCAGCCCAAATACAAAAGATTCCTACGTTCCTATTCTTTTTAAAGCGTTCCCTTATTGCATGGGGAGTCACCTGGCCACTCCCCACCAAGCACTGTTAAGACTGACGGACAAAAGGCTATTTGCATAGGATTGCCCAGATACTTAGGCCTTCCTTGATGTCTTTCCAGTTACACATTTAAAAAACATTAAGTATTCCCTACTCCATGGCTGTGCCTAGACTGGCCAGTTTTTCCGGAAAATCAGCCACTTTTCTGGAAAAACTTGCCAACTGTCTACACTGGCCACTTGAATTTCCACAAAGCACTGACTTCCTACTGTAAGAAATCAGTGCTTCTTGCGGAAATACTATGCTGCTCCCGTTCGGGCAAAAGTTCCTTTTGCGCAAAGCTTTTGCGCAAAAGGGCCAGTGTAGACAGCTCAGATTTGTTTTCTGCAAAAAAGCCCCGATCGCAAAAATGTCAATCAGGGCTTTTTTGCAGAAAAGCGCGTCTAGATTGGCACAGACGCTTTTCCGCAAAAAGTGCTTTTGCGGAAAAGCGTCCATGCCAATCTAGATGCTCTGTTCCGAAAATGCTTTTAACGGAAAACTTTTCCGTTAAAAGCATTTCCGGAAAATCATGCCAATCTAGAGGCAGCCCCATATGTCTAATTTTACACATAAGAGTGATACATACACCAAAATAAGATAAGCGGATCCAGTGGATCATGACAAGAAGATTGATGGGTTACATGAAGTCATTTGCTCAAAGCACCTTTGAGTTAGGGATACTTATGTCCAGAACTCCATTTCATAAAGTATGCAGGGTATGTATCTGTCACATTGTGCTTGTTGTACTATGACTATAATCCTAGAAATTCTACTGGCTCACAGCACTGCCTGTTGGATTATAGTATCAGAGGGGTAGCCATGTTAGTCTGAATCTGCAAAAGCAGCAAGGAGTCCTGTGGCACCTTATAGACTAACTGAAGTGTAGGAGCATAAGCTTTCGTGGGCAAAGACCCACATGCATCTGACAAAGTGGGTCTTTGCCCACGAAAGCTTATGCTCCTACACTTCAGTTAGTCTATAAGGTGCCACAGGACTCCTTGCTGCTTTTGCAGATTCAGACTAACATGGCTACCCCTCTGATACTATAATCCAACAGGCAGTGCTGTGAGCCAGTAGAATTTCTATTTCAAGACAGAAGGTTAGAGTATTTTTCTCATGTTACTGTCATAGACTCATAGACTTTAAGGTCAGAATTATGATCATCTAGTCTGACCCCCTGCACAGTGCAAGCCACAGAATCTCACTCACCCATGTCATCTTGTAGTTGAGATCCAGAAGCTCCATTTTAAGATACTTTGGAATTATTTTTCCTTACTTCAACATACGGGTTTTAACATTTTAAGGGTTGAGTCAAATGTTTCTAAACAAGAGCACCATCTGCTGCCCTGGCTTATCAGGCAAGTAGCAGAAAGACAAGATGAGTAGGAGATTATCTTGTGGTGGATCAACGTCTGTAGGTGAGAAAGACATGCCTTCAAGCTACACAGTGCTTTTCTTCCAGTCTGGGAAATGTGCTCAGAGCTCCACAGCTAAAGGGAAGGTGGAACTGGTTGTTTAGAATAAGTAGTTAGCACATGTTCTAAGGGATTGTAACAGAATGGCACTTTCCTCCCATGAGTGCTCTATCTGGCCAAGTGTGTGTGCCTGCACGGTCTCTTTAACAGCCTTTTTGGGTACTCAGCCCTTTGATTGAGGGACATTTCTGTGTGTAAAACAAACCATACGCCTAGCGGAGGCCTATCCTGGTGCTCTCTGCTGGTGTCTCCAAGTCTATTTCTCAGTTTGTTTTCCCACTCGGGAGCAAATGATGCCTCCAGGGAGACAGCTTCCTTGCTCTTATCTCAGGGTTTTCCACATAAGCTTGTAAGGTCCATCAGTCTGAAGCTCCCTTACGGAGCTGGTTGCTCCTCAGTCTCTTTCCTCAATCCAAGAGAGTGGTGCCTCTTCCCCCACCTGGAGGCAACTTCTATAGCCAGCCTCCCAGTCTGCGCTCCTTGAGCCCTGCTTGGCACTGACTGCTGCTCTGTTTTGCAGCTCCCTTTGTAGGCCTCCCTGGCCTCTGATTGGCTGATTCCTCTGCTGCCACTCTTGCCTGCTTGGAGGACCTCTTTATAGTTTTTCTGGGGTACAGTGAGGTTGGACCATCCCATCAAAGGGATCATTCAAAGTAGTGACCAGTTAATATCTCTGCAGTCATAGGGCAAAAGGAGGAGGTTAGGTGGTTACAGACCATTGTAGTAAGCTATAAATCTGGTGTCTTCGTTTAATCCAGGATGTTTAGTGTTGAGGAAAGTCAAGAATTTAAGGTCCCAGGTTCATCTTTGAAAATATTGTGCAGGTTTCCTTTGCAGTCTGGGATTGATAGGATTTATAGAGATAGAGAGATTGCTTTATGGAACTTGTTCATCTATAAGTGAGAGGGTATTTTTCTCTTTTACCTGTGTGAGTTCATTCAAGAGGATAGTGAATGGTTTCACTCACATAACTTTTATCATATGGGCTGATATTGCACATGTACCACATGTTGTGATGGGCATGTGTACAATCCAATAGAGCTTGAAAGGTGTGTTGTGAGGGGTGTCAATCACTGTAGCAGTGGACATGTCTGCAGATTTGCATCCATTGTCCTGTCAGGGTGTGGTGCCTCTGAGTTGGGGTGTTCAGGTCTGTGGGAAGCTTTCTCCCAATGATGAGATTGAAAAGGTTGTTGGGTGTTTGAAGGTCAGATATGGATTTTCAGAAAGGATTTCTTTCAGGATGGGATCCTGAACGAGTACAGCTTATAGTTGTTTGATGATAATCTACAGGGATTCCAGTGTGCAGTGGAGTGGTTGCTGGTGATGAGGAGTGTGCAGCCAGATGTTTTGTAATTAATATTAATTTACCCGTTCCATAAATTAGGTTCCTTGTGATTCTTTGGATGTCTGTTCCTTAACCAAAATACAATCTGGAGGATTATTGTATGATTCTGATTTTTTGTTAGCCACCATACAACAAAGTGATGCAATTGTTCAATTCATCACAAATAATATTGATAGCAATACTTTCTAATTATCATTAGGGGTCACCAAATGAAATTAATAGGCAGCAGGTTTAAAACAAACAAAAACGTTTTTCTTCACCCAGCACACAGTCAACCTGTGGAACTCCTTGCCAGAGGATATGGTGAAGGCTAGAAGTTTAACAGGATTAAAAAAGAGCTAGATAGATTAATGGAGGTTAGGTCCATCAATGGCTATTAGCTGGGATGAGTAGGAATGGTGTCCCTAGCCTCTGTTTCTCTGGAAGTGGGTGACAGGGGAGGGATCACATGAGGATTACCTGTTGTGTTCCCTCTCTCTGTGGCATCTGGTATTGGCCACTGAGAGCAGGCAGGATACTGGGCTAGATGGACCTTTGGTCTGACCCAGTATGGCCATTCTTATATTCTTAGTTATTGGAGTATAAGAAAAAAACAGCTGTACCCTCTGTACTCGTACTTGTTCATGCTCAGCATGTCATTTGATAATTAGAAAGATGGTTACATTTGTCTTTGGAAATGGCTGTCCAAAAGATGACCAGGATGTCATAAAGGCCTTATAAGATTTCAGTGGAATTCAGTTTAGAGATTTTCATTTTTCATTGTTTTCAGAACATGAGAACTGAAGGTATCGCCTCCTTTATCCAGTGGTGAAGCACTGGAATGGGTTACCTAGGAGGGTAGTGGAATCTCTGTTCCCCTAGAGGTTTTAAAGTCCCAGCTTGACAAAGTCCTGGCTGGGATGATTTAGCTGGGATTGGTCCTGCTTTGGGCAGGGGGTTGGACTTGATGACCTCCTGAGGTCTCTTCCAACCCTGTGATTCTACGATTCCATGAAAAATGCCCCCATATACCTTTGTTAATGATTAGTTACAGGGACACACATGCAGATTTATATTTAAATTGTCTAAAATGCTTATAGCACTCCTTTTCACGAGATCACCTTTGCAATGAAGCATCCTCAGGTTGTTGTGCTCTGTTGCCAAATGAACAAGATAAATGTTAATGTGATAAAGTTTCTAAAAGAAAAGGTTATAGTGCCAGATCAAGTAAGAGCTGATCGACTGTATGTCTATTATGAACATCTAGACATAAAATAAATGATAGAGAAGTAACAGTTAAAAGCTGAAGTTGCTTCAAAACTTAGTAAGAATTTGTGGTTTGCTTCACTAGCAACTGTTGCCGTTACTCAATCTAACTCCTCGGTGAACCACAGATGCTGCATGGGATACTGGATATGTTTTAAGAACATAGGCTGAAATGATTCCAAATGTTATGGGCTATGCCTGGATTTAAGTGACGTTATTATTAATACATCGAATGTTTGTACAGTCATCATTGCCTTTCTCAAATATATATGAAGACCTAAAAAACACAAGGCCTGATTAACTTTGACATTAGTATTAGCAACAATGAATAGCATTAGTCATTACTATTTGAAAGCATATGAGGCAACCCTATTGTATTACAAATAAAACGTAAAGGTTAAATAGGTACAGAGCGTTAGTTTGTTTAGATATTGATTTGTGGCCAGCAAAAGAGACAAATGACTTTATGTTGCAGCATTGTAATCTATCAAAAACAGAATCACCAGGGATTGGAAAAGGACATTACACAAAGAATCTCTTCTGCCTTCAGAATAGATATTTCTGCTGGCCTCTCTCAATGGCCACTTGGGGAAGGACACAGAGTTGTGTCAAGTTAGCCAAGGACATCAGTCACTGCAGGGTGGCCTATGGGAAGTGTCCTGCATTAGTAAGTTTCTGAGTAGAGCAGGTGTCCGTTATATTTCCCAAGATATTTTGCATAAGATTCAGTGGCCTAATTTGTCTTATACAATCTGGGATGGCACAAGATGTTTTGCACAAAGACCATGGATTTCGCAGAGACAGAGTTGCAAGAATTCCAGCCTCCAGACTGTGGTAGGACAGTTCAAAACTTTCCGAGAAGAAAGGGTCAGTTCCTGATTGGCTCACAGGAGCTTTGCCAAGAAGAAACCAAGCTTTCAGTAACTATAAAGGAGGCAGTTTCAGTCAAAATATACATATGAAGCTCATATGTATGGATGAGTGAGACTGCGGTGGGACCACCTGGCTACTGAGAGCTCCTCCTATCTGGTAACTACTAAAGTCTTCCCCATTGTGCTCACCCTATTAACTCTTCCTTTGATGTTCTATCTAGGGATGTGGTCATGAGATCCAGAAAGAGAAGCAGCATACAACTGCCATAATGTGCTGAGTGAATGAACCACCCAAAGGGACTTTCTAGCATTCTTGAGAGATTACTCAGGGCCAGTGTGTCGCAGAGCTGGAGAATGTGCTTTCACACCAGTTTGCATGGATAAGTGGCACATTTATATGCATTTTGTTTACCCCAATGGAAAACTTGGTCATTATAAAGATACATGAGTTAAAACCATCTACAGGATACTTCCAGTTATCCAGAGTCCCTTTCTCTAGAAATCCTAATGATCTGCATACACAATGTTATTTAATTACTCATTGATCAACTAGTGCTGGGACTCTGAGAACTGTGATTGGGAGGATTTCTGGAGTTAGGGATGAGGACAGCGAGAAAAAGGGGAGAAAGTAGGGGCAGAGGGAAAGGGTGAAGTGTGGTAAGAGAGCAAACAGGTACAAAGAAAACAAGGGTTAAAATGAAGACTGAAAGGGGAAGGGTTCAGGGAAAGAACAAAGAGAGCAGGGAAGAAGGGAGGGGGAATGAAGAGCAGCAGATGAGAGGAGAGAAAATAGAAGGAAAGAAGGAGGAGACATGCAGGGTGAGGTTAAGTAGCCACCTGATCTCGGAGCCACCTTGGTGCTTCTTAAAGGCATCCCAACACTCACAGCTCTGCACTCTAAAAGCACCAGTACAAATAGTGAAGGGTAAGGCTGGCTCACTAATCCTGGGCCACCCATGGTGAAAAATGCTCAAGCAGCACCAAGAGGGTTTCTGTCTCCTGCGGCCTCTCCCCCTCTCCTTCCCTGTTTCCTCTGTCCTTCCTTCTCCTTTCCCCTCCCATTCCCTCTGGTTTTTAGCACTAAATCCTCCAGACCTTCTTCTGTTTGTCCAAATGTCTAGTGAGCTGAAAGTCAGGATGTTGCCCAAGCCAGTCAGACAAATAGGAGTGTGCTGTAATAGGATAGTTTTTTTTTATTTGCATTTCATCAAGACTCTGAATCTTTGTTGTCTAGAAATAAGGTTACAACAGGGCATGTCTCCTCCATGGAAATTAGCTGACAGACACCCTGAGTGTTTTACAGCTTAGCCAGGAAATACTGCAGAGTGTATCACTGAGAAAAACTGAGAGAGAGAGTTGATTGGCTGGTAAGCAACTGATTGTTCTTGCTATCTTGAATATTCAGTTAACCTTGATTATTCCATTCATGTAGCTTAAGAGCAAAGATTACTGGTAAAATTCCATAGATATTTGAATAGATGGAATCATTTGCATAAAGTGAAAACTAATTGCATTTGGCATTGGAATTCTTAGTACTCAATGTAACTTGTCTGATGTACTTAGTTGTAACTCTAAAGCTGTTTGTTAAAACTGTTATAAGTACTCCCTTAATTCCACTTGGGGATGAATTTGATTAGAAATGGATAAGAATCTTCACATAATTCATAATTCCATGGTGGTACCAAAGTCACCGGCCCAATGTATTACAGAACTAGGATAAAGCTTGGTTGTGTATCACAACTGTGATAAGTCCTGGAATAAACTGATGTGATTTGTTATTTCTTGGTTGACTGTAACATCACATCATGAATTTGTCAGGGACTCTAGCCCAGACGGCTCGGTTTGTTGTCTGACCGCAAAGAGACAGGCAACACCAGCAAAGTCCAATCACAAGCTCTTTATTGAAGAGTGCACACAGCAATAGAGAGCGGCCCGTCTCCAAAGAGAACCAGCCGCGATTTTAGTAACAGGTAGGCTTACAAAGACAGTTCCGTCGCGTCATAAGCTCTTCACCCAAGCAACTCACCCCCCTTTCTAAAACTTTTAGTATCTATGCATATTTTGGGCAACCATTTATTGTGGCCAGAAACGCTTCATAATGCATCAGCAACTTTCTTATCAATCACAAAAGGCAGGTACCAGGAACGAGGAGACAAGGGAGTTGGGCACAAACAAAGGGCAAAAAATAGGGAGGTAAGATTAGCAAAGGGGAACAGAAACAGGGAGTTACTTACCAGTTCCCAAAACAAGCTGTTCTACTTACAGTAGGTACAAATATGTAATTTATCACTTATCTTACTTTTATAACATAAGCCAGCGTGGTGGGTGCGCCTCTGTTTGAACCACATTCCTGGTTCTGGTCAAGAATACTCAGAGGCCTATGAAATTAGCCTTTGTTAACTTTCCTTAGCATAATGTTGACCAGCCCCTGTTTTTCTGGGCCCAACAAATTCATCATTACAAATTTTGTAAACATGAATATCCAACCCCCTTCCTTTTACTTTTTGTAATTTCTTATTACAAAATGGCTATTAAAATAAATTAATGGGCAATAATTCTCCAATAATTTTTATTTTGGCTAAGGAAAAAGAGATTAGCATTAGAAACCTATTTTAAGGCACTCCATTAAAAGTAAAATTAATTACAAAGTATTTAAAATATATTTTGCATCACACAATCACATTTTCTGAAATACTCACTGGAGCTTCACAGCTGTATAAATAACACTCACTATGAGAATACAGAACGCACATTAGAAATGACATTTGGATGAAAAAATATTTCTGCACATTTGTGGATTAATACATGAGTCCATGTGGCCCGTGCCCAGGGCCCTGCCAATCAGGAGCACTGGAACCTGTGTAAAAGTTGGAGGGTCCACTAGAACTACGTCTCTGACTCCTGTTCCTTCTCTTTTCTGGGAGTCCTACCTGCCTCCCCTGGCTGGAAGCTGATGCTAAATAGTAATAAGAGCTGCTCAGTGAGCCTGAGTCACTGTGGGTAGCTTGGAACCCTCCACCTGCCCTTAATGGGCGGGGGTCAGAATTCCTGAGAACAGCCCCTGATGCATGTCCCAGCCTTCTGGATCATGCCAGACAGGGCACACAGGGGGTCCTGGGCACCCCACAGTGCCTGGGTTTTCTGGATGGCTCTTAACTCACTGCTTTCTTCTGTCCTCCACCTTGCCAAGGTGTCAGGGCCTCGGAGGAGGAGGAGTAACAAGGGTCAGGACCCATGGCAAGGGCCATGCAGGGGCCCCAAATGTTCTTTGTGCCTAGCGCCCCAATAAATCTTAATGTGGTTGTTTCTATAGCTCCACCTATCCCCAGTGTAAATATAGGGACTTCCTGCCTTCACTTTGTCGTACTGCCTCTTTTCTCCAGAGACACAGAGTTCCCAATAGACCTTCAACCATGAAGATCCTTTGCCTGATCCTTGCTGTTTTCCTTCTGGTGCTCCAGGGTGCACCAGGTAAGAAGTAAATGAAAATGAGGGAGTATATAGAGGGATCTATGGAGTCTCTACTAACATTGTGTAACTCTGTCTGTTAAAACCACGTTTCTGACTTTTGCTTAGGAGCTCTAATACCTCTGGAGTTTGTGGACAATATGTAAAATTCTGCAGTGGAATTCTGTGAAAGTCAGGGCTGTCCCAGGAAAATGCATGAAGATTTGACTGAATTATGATTTGCGAAAAAAGTCAATAATCGTGTTTTCCTCAGATCTGTCGGAGTCTTGCTGTTTAGCTAACCCCACCTTCTCTAAAAAAACAAGGAGGGGTCATGCGGCACCTTAGAGACTGACAGATTTATTAGGGCATAAGCTTTTGTAGGTAAAACCCACTTCATCAGATGAATTGGAGTGGAAGCTAGAGGTGTGTGTGTGTGTGTGTGTATGTGTGTGTGTGTGTAAGAAGGAAGTTACTTATCAAATGTAGGACCAGTGTTAATGAGGGCAATTCAGTGACTAATGAAGTGTGTTTTATCTACGAAATCTCATGGCTTAATAAACCTGTTCCACGAGGAGTAACGGTAGTTCGGAATAGGAAGCCTAATCCGAACTACCTAGTTCGTGCCGCGTGTAGCTGCGGGCACGGAGTCTGAACTAGCGGACATTTAAAAATGGCGGCGCCCGGCAACATGCAAATGAAGCCCGGGAAATTCAAATCCCGGGCTTCATTTGCAACTCCGGTTGCCTACATTAACCACCCTAGTTCGAACTAGGGTGGTAGTGTAGACATACTCTTAGTCACTAAGGTGCCACAGGACTCCTCTTTGTTTTTGCAGATACAAAACTAACACACTTGCACTTCTGAGACTTGTCCCACATTCTCTGTGGCCTGCATGTACTGTTTCATGTCCAGGCAATCACAGAACTGAACATGGTATATAAACAAAATGAAGTATGCCAACCTTGTTCAGTCTACCCACTGGTAGAGGGCAAAGTACACAGAATGGGGAGTCAAAATATAACTTCTGCAGGTGCCTAGAGTTTATAATTCGGTGCCTTTCACAAGCTTTATTATTAAGCTAGGCCTCATGTCCACTGATATATTTACTTGTTTCCATAATATAAGAACTAGGGGTCACCAAATGAAATTAATAGGTATCAGGTTTAAAAAAAACAAAAAGTTTTTCTTCACACAGTGCACAGTCAATCTGTGGAACTCCTTGCCAGAGGATGTTGTGAAGACTAGGACTTTAACAGGGTTCAAAAAAGAGCTAGATAAATTCATGGAGGTTAGGTCTATCAATGGCTATTAGCCAGGATGGGTAGGAATGGTGTCCCTTTAGCCTCTGTTTGTCTGGAAATGTATGACAGGAGAGGGATCATGTGATGATTACCCGTTGTGTTCCCTCCCTCTGCGGCATCTGATATTGGCCACTGTTGGCAGACAGGATAATACTGGGCTAGATGGACCTTTAGTTTGACCCAGTATGGACGTTCTTATAGTTTTATGTTCAGTCTCTTCTTGGGGCAGTTACTAAGTATTCATAGAACTACAGCTATTTAAATAGCTCTGAGCTGTGATAAATTTTTGGACTTGCACTTTTGGGCTGGCATGGTCATGTATAGGTAAATGAGAAATGACTGTCCTCTTGGAATCAAAGTGCATGATTCACCCTTCTCTGCAGAGTGATGACCGACTCTTTTCTCTTTATACAGAATTTTCCCAGGCTAAGAATCCCTTTCTGCAATGTAGATTCCATGGGGGTGAATGTTACTATAAGAGATGTCTCTTCAGTTCTAAGTTCATGGGAATGTGTGGGAAACAGTATATGTGCTGTCAAAGGTAAGTTCAGCATTCCCCAAGGCAGGCATAGCAGTGTGAAGAGAAATACCTGTTTTTCTCCATCTTGCATCTAGCTGTTGTTCAAATCAAAGAAGTATTCAAGTCACTTTTGTACTGCTCACATTCTGGGCCACCTAGGGGCTGGCGTGGCATTTATGAGAACTACACCAACGGCTTCTTTTACATACATTAAGTCTTAGCCAGGCTGCCTATGGGCTATAACAGCCTTAGCAGCTTCATCTATGGGGAGACATTGGGCCTCAAACACAGAATTGTCTACATTGATTTTATATTTTAGAATAGAGAATTCTAACAGGAAAACCAGAAATCTGTAGGAGGGAAGGGAGACATGAAGGCAACTATTAGAAACAGAAAAATATCTATAACAAATGGAATACAGAGGAAAGAGATAGCAGTCAATCTAACTTGGAAGAAATGTGGTGCAGCAATATGAAAAAGGAAACCTAAAGACAACAGGGAAGCATCCTTGGCTCACAAGTATTAGGACAAGAAATCATTGTATCAAAATATCAGGAAGAAAATAAATACTTACAATGGTATAGATTTATTCCTAAGTGGTGAAAACAACGTGAATTATGGGGCAGAAAAGGAAGAAGTGTTCCCTAAATATTTCTGTTCTGTATTTGGAAAGCTGCAGATTGATGTTTTGACATTGCTTGAGTATGGTGACTTCTATCTAGTCCATTAGTAATTAAGATGCTAACACCTGTTAGGGATAAACATTTTTAAATCAGGAGACCTAGATAATGTCTATCACAGAATCCTCAAAGATCAGTAAGGGGATCCTTTGCTCCATTGATCACTTTTGATACATTTTTGAATGTTGGAGAAATTCCAGAAGATGGAAAGAATGTTAATATTATTCCAATAGCCAAAAACATAGGCAAGGTGACCCAGGAAATTAAAGGCCAGTGATCCTGATATCAATCCCCAGCAAAATAATGGAAAAAGGTGACTCAATCAATGAAGAATTAAAGATTAGGAATATAATCAACACCAGTGAACAGGAATTTTAGCATATTAGGCCTTGCAAAATAAACCCTATTTATATTTGTAGACAGTTTTCAAGGTTAGTTGATAAATATAACTTCGTTGATGCTCTCAGAAGTATACATTGTTCATCCAGCAAGCGACGTAAAGGCACCGAAGTGCTCACGAATCCTTCCATCCTTAAAGCAGCCCGGTGCAGACTCTTAGCTTTCGATTGTGAAAACTAAGGACGGTAGTTTTAAAAATCTCAAATGATGTCAAATTCAACACTGTTCAGATGGGGTTTTAATGATTTAAACCTCCAGGGTCTTATGGAAAGTTAACTTGACCACAAGGCATTTCTCCAGGGGTTTCTACTCCTGCTCTGCCTGTTTCCGACGGTACCTAAACTAAACAGGACTCCTGGTCGGGTCATGACTGGTCCCAGAGAAGCAGTAGGGAGGGTGAGAAATTTTCCCACCTACTAGGGCAGAGATGAGTTGAGGCCAGGCCACATGAAGCTGGGAGCTCCTTTAACCTGAAGAGCAAGAGCCAAGTAGCTGCTCTACAACCATTCTAGTGACTCGCTGAGCATGCTCAGAAATCCATACGGTCACCAGGCCTGGTTCCTAGTATGAATTTCCACCAGAAGAGTTATCATTGATAAAAGTGGAATTTCCCTTCATTTTCTAAGGGTAAATTACATATCCCCTAACAATTATCTGTCATTTTAGATCTCGCTGTGCCCAACATGTGTATGATAGAACTGTATATGGACAAGAGTCCTTTTTCTGTCCAGTGTAATTTTTATACGTAACCTGTTTACATTTATACGACTATCCCCATTTACATTCCATAACAGAATATTGCAGTAGGGAAAATGAATTCCCTGTGTTGGAGTTACCAGGAACCACTTCAACCCCCACAGAGTGAGTGGGCAATTCCTCTAGTGCCTTTCAATTTGAAATCAAGCATCCTATTATCCCTGTTCTATGAAAAAACATCAACACATCAGATTATCTTTCCCTTGGGTACAGGTGATTTACTGACTGATTCCCTAGGCAGGATCGCTGGGAATCTGGAAGACAGATTCTAAAATCATCAGATCTTGCTTCAAAGGAAGGCTAAAATTTTGTTTGCTTGGACTGGAAAGAACTTTGTGAGTTGGAGAAATTTCAGGAGGAGCCTTTGAATCACCCCGAGAAGATCTGTGACTCTCCATTCAATAAAAGCAAATTGGTTTCAGACAATATGGTTGAAGTGTTTGTGTGTCAGTGGGAGAGAAGGTGGCAGTTTTGATCCTTTGTTTCCCTTAGACATCCACCTTATTTATTTTTAAAATGAAAAATAAAATAAGATAGCTGAGAAACCTTCTTATCACACGTTATTCCGTCACCTGTGTATTTATAGATGATGGTCCACACATCTCTGTAAGTTTCAATAAACTTCTGTGGCTAGATCTTTACATTTTACAACTAGTATAAATCCTTTCAATTAATGCTGGCCCAGGAGCTGGCTTGAGACACAGCTTGACTGCACAGTGTGTAACACCCACAGTGGTGCTGCAAGTCATCTAGCCCCTCCCTCTTTCAGAAACTCATTATCCACACTGTGGAGACCAGAGGAAACCAGGCCAATCTGCATTAAGGTATCAGACCTGGTTCTCCTTCCTGTTACACAGACTGCTGTAAATCACTAGTAGCTCCACCGAAAACATCTGAGTTCCAGTGGCATGAAAGAGGCATATCTGAGATCAGAATTAAGCCTATTTTTGCCCACAAAAAGGTGAGAGCAAGTTTATATAAGGAAAACTTTTTGGCTCTTTCAATAGGACACGCGCCTGCTGAAATTAATTTCTCATCCTGTCCTGATGGTTCCCTGAAACAACATTTTGCCATAGCATCATGTATCAGAAAATCCAGGGTAATCTATGTTTGAAATTTTATCCTAGCCTTCATTAGGCAAATGCTGCCACCTTTCTATGGCTGTCTTCATTGTACTGTCACTGAAGTCCATGGGGCTGCTTCATCAGCTTGCATACCATATAAACAAGATAAGCGAAGTATTGTTAATCTTATTGGATACCTGAGGAGCAGAGAGCTTGAGGGACTAAGGGGTTAGGTTCATAAAGGTATTTATGAATTCTGAAGGTTCACCTGAAGCCTGGCTGCATTATTCGGTGTCTAAACACCTTTACAAATCTGTGCCATGGGATGTGCCCATGGTCACACACACAGAGTCTGTGGCAGAGATGGTACCTAAGCTCTGATTTTTTCAGTCCCCTGTAGTGACTGTTCTTTACATCAACCTTCCTGAGTTTATAACACCGGAAAACACAGCGATCCTGGGAATTACAATCTGAGATTTAAATAGTCCTCTGGCACATAGTGTTGTTGAAGCAAAACAAGCTTCTCTGTGGTTAGGCAGCTAACAAAAGATTTATTGATCAATAAGGCACAGAGTGAGCCAAACGTGGTCCCAGCAGAGCCGGGCCCACTAAGGCTGGCTAATACAATCAATCCTAGTATCTTTATACCCTTAACCAAACAGTCTGACATCAGGGCATCCAATTACAGAAATCATCAATTAAACTTGGAAAAACAAAGTCTTATCAGCAAGATGGTGGGCAGATACTAGGGAGTGCATCTCCTATCTCAACCAGCCCAATTATCACATTCCAATAGCCTATTCTGTAGGGCTCTCTCATGGGATGACAGAAAGTTCACTGTGGTCTACGTATCAAAGCGAGAAGCTGAAATGGTTTCTGTTATACAAGATGGCTTCTAGCTAAATATGAAATGGTTTCCACAGTGTCCTAAAATAGAAGTGTCTCGTTGGAGGGGGTAATGGAACCGTGGGCAGGAGCAGGACATGGGTTTGGCGAGACCACTCCTTGCCAGACACACTTGACGGCTTTGTGTGATAAAATCAAGCTGATCTGGCCCCTTAGTTGGAGGATAGAGTGGGAAACTGAAGGGAAAGCAGAGAGAATTATAGAAGAGGGAGACCAGCTACTGGAGAGAGCCAATTTCTTGGGGATTGGGCTGTGCCAGTGTCTTCCTAAGATCCCAGAAACAGGAAGGGTTGTGGGACAGGGCCCTGGTTTGTTTATTGAGAGAAATGTGCCTTTCACTGAACATCATTAATGCTGGACATTGGGGCTGTGCTCTGCCTGTCCTCCTGCAGCCTTTATGTCTCTGTTGAGGAGGGCATGGGCGCCCAGAGTGAAGGGCGTACACAGATTGAATGGATAGCAGGGTGTTGGGAGTAGGTCATGCAGTAAGTCAAATCTTGGGCAATATAGTGCAATGAGTGTGTGCGAGGAAAGATAGCTTGCAGTGAGAGTAGGTGTGAAATGCTAATAGAGACATCCGGTATCAATGCCCTCAGTGGGTGTGAGCAGAGCAAACAAGCAATGTGCCTCAAATTATATATTGTAAAATGGTTTTTTGTTGCCTTCTATGTCTCTAGCCAGTTTAATGTCATTTTCTACCTTTTCCTTCCTAATTTTGTCCCTGAATACTGGTGTTATTTATTTATGTTCATGCTTTGTAATTTGACCTAGTTTCCTTAGTAAGCTTATTAAGTTTGCAGATGATTCCAAGCTGGGAGGGGTTGCAAGTGCTTTGGAGGATAGGGTCATAATTCTAAATGATCTGGACAAACTAGAGAAATTGTCTGAGGTAAATAGGGTGAAGTTTAATAAGGACAAATGCAAAGTCCTCCACTTAGGAAGGAACGATCCCTTTCACACATACAGAATGGGAAGTGACTGTCTAGGAAGGAGCACTGCAGAATGGGATGTGGGGGTGATAGTGGACCACAAGCTAAATATGAGTCAACAGTGTGACACTGTTGCAAAAAAAGCAACATGATTGTAGGATGCATTAACAGGCGTGTTGTGAGCAAGGCATGAGAAGTCATTCTTCCACTCTGTTCTGCACTAATTTGGCCTCAGTTGGAGTATTGTGTCTAATTCTGTGCACCACATTTCAGGAAAGATATAGAAAAATTTAAGAAGGTCTGGAGAAGAGCAACAAGCTGAATAAAGGTCTAGAAAACTTAACCTGTGATGGAAGACTGAAAGAAGTGGGCTTATTTAGTTTAGAAAAGAGAAGAGTCAGAGGGGACATGATAGCAGTTTTGAAGTGTCTAAAAGGTTGTTACAAGGAGGAGGAAGAAAAATTGTTCTCCTTGGCCTCTGATGACAGGACAAGAAGCAATGGGCTTAAATTGCAGCAAAGGAGGTTTAGTTTGGACATTAGGAAAAACTTCCTAAGTATCAAGGTGGTTAAACACTGAAATAAATTGCCTAGGGAGGTTGTGGAATCTCCATCACTGGAGACATTTAAGAGCAGGTTGGATAGACATCTATCAGGGATGGTCTCGATTGTGTTTGGTCCTGCTGTGAGGGCAGGGGATTGGATTTGATGACCTCTCGAGGTCCCTTCCAGTTCTAAGTGTTCTATGATTCTATGATTCCTCCTGATGTCCTGCCCCAGGGGAAGTCACCAGGGCTGGAGCTGTGGCTAGGGTGGAAGCAACTGTACAGCCACCATGTAGTCCACCCTGGCCATGTACCTGAACAGTGTGTGTATAATATATATATGCAAATCAGAGTCTACTGGCTCACGTGAGCAGCTGGGAGTTGGCAGGTATGTGGTTGTGAGGTGATATAATCTGTCAGGATTCAAGAAAGCTCTTTAAACCAACAGGCTGTGACTAGACTGGCCAGTTTTTCCAGAAAATCAGCCGCTTTTCCGGAAAAACTTGCCAGCTGTCTACACTGGCTGCTTGAATTTCCGCAAAAGCACTGACGATCTCATGTAAGATTGTCAGTGTTTTTGCAGAAATACTATGCTGCTCCCATTCGGGCAAAAGTCCTTTTGCGTAAAACTTTTGCGCAAAAGGGTCAGTGTAGACAGCTCAGATTTGTTTTCCGCAAAAAAGCCCCGATCGCGAAAAGGGTGATCGGGGCTTTTTTGAGGAAAAGCGCGTCTAGATTGGCACGGACACTTTTCCACAAAAAATGCTTTTGCAGAAAAGCGTCTGTGCCAATCTAGATGCTCTTTTCCAAAAATGCTTTTAACAGAACTCTTTTCCGTTAAAAGCATTTCCGGAAAATAATGCCAGTCTAGACGAGGCCACATAGATTAGCTCTTACATTGTCAGGAATAATTACTTTTTAATGTTTTGATGGTTTCCCAACTGTAAAAACACAGAGAATTTCTCCTGCCCTATCCCCCCTCCATTTATCTAATGGGAAATAATGAAAAAAGTAAGCAAAAGGAAAGGAAAACTCTCTGAAATGTTAAAATGGAAAATTAACTTTTTCAGTTTCCAAAATCCAAAACACAATAAAATGTGAACACACTGAAAGTTTATTTTGAAACACAGCTGATTCATTTAGAAACAACACATAGTCCTGTGGCACCTTAGAGAGGAACAAAAATATATAGGATAATGAGCTTTCCTGGGTAAGAGACACTTCATCAGATGGTGGGGGCTGGGCTTGACTCTACGGTGGGAGGAGTTGCGGAAGAGGCGGGTCTTCAGGTTTGCCTTCCCCAGGTGGGACTTCACCCATTGACCATGCTTAGTGTTTTTAACTGGAGGTAATTTGTGCTTCAACAAAATTATTCACTACCTACAGATTGGACCCAAAAGCTAACCAGATACATTGTCATTTCTCCACATGCCTTCTCACCCCTGGTGCATGTCATTTCCAGCAACAAGGCCAAACACATAGACATGACAGATTCAATCAAAGAGACAGTGTTGCTAATGCACTAATACAAGCATCTGCTACAACTAAGCAGCTTTAGTAAGTGGACCATGTGTCCTGGCTTTAGCATGTGGGTTGTGAAGGGCACAGAGTTGCTAACACTATTCAGCAGAAGAAGTTTGACTTTATTTCATGATGAGCTGGTTCCCAACTTTGTCCCCAAAATAATTTTCCATGGAGAAAGGCTAGAGAGGAAGGGTTCATTTTGCTGGTGTCCCGTCCAAACATTCAGACCTCTCCACTACGTGGAAGCAAAAACATACTTGTTGCACACAGAATGGCTTTGTCTTCTCTGAGTGCTCCTTTAGCATCTCGATCATCCAAAGGCTTGTTTAGCTGCCTTCCTGCTTCTGATGTACTTAAAAAACATTTTGGAATTACTTTCTGAGTTTTTGGCTACCTTTTCTTCAAACTCTTTTTTGGCTTTTCTTATATTTTTACACTTAATTTGACAAACCTTGCAAACTAA